AAGAAGAAAAGGGTATTTATTTGTGGAGTGCAGTTTTAAATTATCTGTCTAGTTAGGCATCCTTTAAGCACTATGTCAGAATCTTGACAATGCTGGAATATGTCACTGTTGTATTCTGGCAAGATTATCACAGAATACTGCACTAAGAAACTCCAAATTATAAAACAGCTATGATCCATCCAGAAAGTGACTTTTGAATGCTGAAGATAAATCTCTTAAAGCATATTTGGCCATTTAACTGTAGATTTTGAAGTAAGAGAAATACCTTAAACTCTTCCTTTTTGTATTTGATATGTTAGATCACAGTTTAATGTGACACTAAATTCCAGTGTCCAGATCATGTCTTCACTACAAAGGAACCAGTGGGAACACTTAGCGCTAAAGCAGAAGGAGGCAAAGTATGACCAAATTCAGCCCATTGCCTGTTTTTGTATGGTGTATGAGCTAGGAATGTTTTTTATATTTTTAAATAATCAAAAACAAAATTAAAAGAAGAAGAATACTTTGTGATACGTTAAAATGATATGGAATCCAAATTTCAGTGGTTATGAACACAATTTTTTTGGAAAACAGCCATGCTCACCCATTTGTGTATTGTCTGTGGTTGCTTTCACTACAGTCACAGGATTGCGTACTTGTGACAGAGACCCTGTAACCTGTGAAGCCTGGCATAGTCACTGTCTTGCCCTTCGCAGAAAAAAGTTTGCTGACCTGCTCTGAGGCCATAGACTTTCTTTTGCATTGTTCCATGGCTGTTCTCAGAGTGTGTTAATTAAAACCTCTATTGAGAGAAGTGAAAAAACAGAGTAACTTCTCTGTGATGACTGTGGTCTTTGGAATCGTTTTTATTGAATCTTTCCACATAAACCTTTGTTCTTTCACAATTTCCTCACATGTCTGGAGCTTATTCCGAAAGAAGAATGTCTGATTTATTTTACAACTATGTTCATGACTTAAAAGGAAGTTTTCCTTTTTATTCTTCATTATTTTGTGTGTGTGTGAATTACAATGCATGTAAAACAAATCCTAAAAATCCAAGATACCCTACCCCTAAGAAACTCCTTCACTTACCCTATCTGTGCTGAATTCTGTAAACTATTTGAAAAAGCAGCCATACATATATATGGCTTTACAACTTTTCCCTATCATCAGAGAGACTGCATCTGGAAAATACTGCATTTGATTTCAGTGAAGAAAGGGCAAGGTTCTAATAAAACACAGAATTAAGTCAAAGATTTAAACTGAGATAAGAGTAGTAGGGAGAGAGAAGAATGTAAGTAGCAGTGTAGTTGCTGGCTTTAAAAATTAGTTTCTAAGGCATCATCTGACGAGGATGTCATTCTCTAAAAATCACCCCCTCCAGAATTCCTACCACATGTGTCAGGACAACAAAAGAATCCTACTCCAAAACTCAGTACCTCAGAATACCCCAGTGATAGGGAAAGCTTCATACTGTGGCCAATGGCTTAACCAGACACTGTGTATGTTTCGCCCATAATAATGGTTTTGGATTCCTCACTCCTCTTCCCGGTGGCTGACCTCAGAAACCACGTTGAGGTTGTTTCTCCTCGAAGATCAACTTCTAGGATGGCTAGAAGGGTTGACTATAGTGCACTTGAGTTTTCCCCATATGCTAGTCCACTCTCTACTGGCTCTTAGAAAATGCTCATGAAATTCTACCAACATTGCACCACTAACCTGCATGGTACCACCTCATCCCTTCTTCACGCATCGGACGTTCATCTTTAGACAGCCTCTGAGACTTCAGCTCATAGGTCTGGGAAGGATTTCCAGATCTCTTAGATGTATCTCCTGCCCATGCTTAAGAAATCATGATGAATTCTGCAAATGTGCACCAATAATGGCCTTTGATGACCTATTAGAAAAGCAACAAGTAGCAATTGACGGTGACCAGTGCATGGTGTTAAAGTCAGTTAGGCTACCCTTTAGATAATCTGTTTTTTTAACTCTTGACAGTTGTGGATACTTAGTCATAGTGCTGCTTCTGGTTCGGTGTTCTCTCGCATCTGTCTCTGTGGGGTTCTCACTTTTTCTGCTTCAGCCTTTGTTTTCCCAGGATCCTTGGAAGTCCTTGACCAAAAATGTGAGATTCATGTATCATTTCTCTTTTACTTCTGCTTTCTTTTCCATATACATTCATGACATTTCTGATTCCTAAATGCTTCTTCATATCTAATAACTTTATCCTCAAAACCACTACTTTGTCATTTTGAGGTTGTACTTTTCAGTGGCCTCCTAATTAGTTTTCTGTTTCCTAAGGGCACTTATCACTTGCCCCAGCCGGCTGTAACTTCATAAATGGAGTGGCCAGGATTTTGAGTCTACTTTATTGCTGGTGGAATCACTAAGCAGGTGACTTGATTGGTTAATTGACTAATTTAATATGGGAGCTAGTAACATTTGGCCTAATCTAACAATTGTGTAACAATTTTGGCATTTATGTGTTGAGATTCATATGAATGAATTTTAACATCCATGAGTTATTAAGATTGTCAGGTTACGTATGATATAAAAGCTTAGGCTTGGTTTGTTGGTGTTCCTTGCTCTGATTTGGGGGTGATAGGCAAATGGCACAATTGATATGTTAAGGATGAGGAATAAATACCAGAAGGGATAGCAAGCCATGTCAATGACATGGGGATGAGGGGAGACGTAAATTCCCAGGGATGATGTAAAGGTAAAGAAGATGTCTATTGTCATGTTTACTAGAAAAAAATATCAAGCCTGTGAATTTTCTGATACTGTTTAGGGAAAGACTTAGTAAAAAGGAGAGTGGAGTGATTTCAGGAAAGATATTAGGTAAACTATGGTGAGAGATAATTAAAATGGCAAATTGTCCTGAAGGTGTGGGTGATATACAGCCCACGCTCCCAGAAGCACAGTTCAGATTAATTCCAAATTCCAAGACCCAGCTGTGAGACCTTGGCAATTCGTATGCCTAGTCACCCTCTGCCTTATCTATAAAATGGAGTTATTATCATTGAATTTTACTTCTTTCGTGTAAACATTGAAAGAGTCCCTATTCAAACGTGACAGTGTTTTGTATACCATAAGAATCTATAGAAACAAATTGCATTAAGTGTGGTTAGAAGGGAGAATGGTCAAACTTTAATCCTTGGATATGCTGTGGACCGTCCAAATTTCACAATAGTGTAAATGACAGTAGAACTTGGGGAGGCTGGGAAAGGTAAGGCTTAAGAACAGGGGCCTTAGAATTTTTAAATTAGTTCAGTATTGTATTTTGGCTCTGAATTCTTTAATATCCTTTATCCTTAGCAGTATCACCTGAAAATGGGTATAAAATTTTAACACCTATCTTATAAGAATATTTCTGAGAAGTAAGCAACATATGTAAACCCTCTGGCACATACATGCTCTAAATATAATAGCAATTATTAGTACCATTATTATTAAACAGGGCAAATTCAACTAGAGTTAGTCCCATCATGCCTTTCAAGTTTCTCATAATTCTGGTAGATTAAATGAAAAGTAGAAAATACATGGAGAATGCTGACACAAGGCAGTTGTATAAATTCCTCCCTTAAAAACTCTTAAGACAAGCTGACATTCTGAACAAGAGTTCTTTATGAAACGGACAGCAGAAAAAAAAAAGACCCATGTAACTGTCCTGGGAAAATGAGTATAGCATGCCATGGTCATCTTTCTATGATTCACCCTAGCAGGGATCTGGGAGTCCAAACCTTGGTTGGAAATTGACTAAAGAATATGAAGCCATGAGGTTGGTCGCCAAGGAGCTTAGGAAGAAAAACTAGTGGATGCTAATAACCCACAATTATGCCATATTTCCAAAGCAAGCGTCCAAGGTTGGACATCACATGTGAATTTTTAACCTTAAAGAAGCATGTCAGCTTCACAGGACTAAAGACCATGTTCCTAGCACATGTATTTCTAGAGTTACTTCTGAGGCCCTGATTCTGTAATTCAACCCTGGTAACAGACATACTTATTATTAGATATAAATCACTTGAATGATTAGCAACTGGGTATGGGACATTCCCAGTGTTTGGCTAAGTGAAGCAGCTGCAGCTTTGTGGTTAAATGGTCGGCTGTAGAGCCAGGCTGCCGGGGTTTGAATCAACTGTGGCTTCTCTACTTACAAACTGGGAATGATCTGGGGTGAGTCACTTACCTTTATGTTCCTAACCTGTAAAATGAAAATGACATAAATATTTTCCTTTTAGATTTTTTTGGTGTTTTTGTGAGGTTTAAATGAGTCGGTATTGGTAAAATGCTTATCATAGCATTGTCACAGAGTAAACCCTCAATAAATATGAGTTGTTGTCCTTATAAGAAATTATTTCCTTAAATCAGCAATTCGTAAAATTTAGCTGACATGGGAATCATGTGGCAGGCTTGATAACACATAGACCCCAGCCCCCTCGCTGCAGTTTCTGGTTCTGTGGCTCAGGGATGGAGCCTGAGAATTTGTACTTTTCACAAGGTCCAGGATAGTGTTGATGTTGCTAGTCCCAGAACCACACGCTGAGAATCACCACCCAGAAACGTTCATTTCAAATTCACGTCAAAAGTTTAAATACAGTGTAACTAGATAAAGTGGAAAAGGTCATTTTAGTTACTTTAATTCAGTGTTTATGAGTCAAAATATTGGGAGCCATGCCTACAACTGCAGGCGCTATTAAATGAAGTCTGAGTTGCAGGGTGGGGCCATTCCAGAAACTATCTTTATGGATGGTGGGGGTGGAGGTAAAAAGGGAGGACACAACTCAAACAGAAAAAAATCGTATTTAAGTCCAGTGCTCTAATAATCCCTTTCATAAGCGAGGCTGCTGTACGTGGGTCAAACAGAAAATTCAAACTGCAGTATAATCCTAGGTTATCGTCGCTAGCTCTCAGCCATAAAGCGGAACTTTGGGGAACCTCAGGACCGAGGACAGCCCGTGGTGATTAAAGCAAATCCTTAAACCGAAAGGTTTCCCCACCATCTGTCGGTAGGTGGAGGAGATCAAAGCTGGCGTGAAGGTGCCATCACTGAAACTGCCCTGCCCATGAGCCAGGACATACCAGAGAAGTCCCGGGAATTAGAGAAAGAAGAGGAAATGAGACGGAAAGCGAGCAGGCATCTGCTCGCTCTCAGAAATAAAGAAGAGCCTGGTGTCTATTATCCGTGCGCGGTGGAGCCCCGGCGGCGTCCCCAGACACACAAGTCAACGTCACCCCGCCCCGCCTCGCCTTCCCTCCCTCGGCTCCGTACGGTCCCTGCGCCCCCGCAGCTGAACGCGGGGCACCGCCGGCGGCGAGAGCTCATTGGTCACCTGGGCGAAGAGGTGAGCGGCTCTGCCAATCCTCTCCTGGGAAGGGAACGGGACGGATACCCGGGCGCGGGCGCAGTGGCGAGGGGCTTGGCGTGGGAATGCAGCTAGTCCTGACGCCCGAGCTGGGCAGGGTGTGCAGGGGGTGAAGGTCGGCTGGGGGTGGGGCGATGCGCCGAAGAGGGAGAGGGGCTAAAAGCAAAAGCAAAGTCACTTCTTCAGTGACTGATGCTGGGCAAAAGACACACTCTGAGCAAAGATATATCAGTAGGAAGAAACCCTTATAGAAGGCGTCTATGACAGATTTGCCCAAAAGGTCTAAGTGGGGAGAAACTCCTGCGACTTGGGGGCAAAATAAGTGATATTAATAGTTACATTTAAATGACAATTTTAAGGGGGAATTAAAGCACACTGTTGAGGCAGAAGAAAGGACATTTTAAAACCTCCGCTTTGCTTTTTGTTTCTGTAACAACAAAAGCAATCGTATAGAGGAACACATCTGATTAATGTGAGTCTGGGTTATGTCCACTGCAGATGTGGAAGTCCATCCAGGTCTCTCTCCAAAGTATTACTCCTGAGCTGCAAGCCAGAAGACCACGCTATTTGCTCACTTTGGGAGCAGAGAACCTTTCCTCACTCAGGTTTGGATACAGTTTTCCATTTCCTGGGAAGATCTGCAGTCTCTGAGGATTCAGGACCAGGAAAGAAGAGCTCAGGTAATGTCAATTTCTACCTGTTTCATTAGATTTTCAGGTTTGTGTGTGGGAATCCACTAGCCACTTGTTTTTTAGACTTTTGATTCTCTTTTAAGTAACTCTCTACTGGACATACCCAGAACTATTTTTTCAGCTGAGAGAATTACCTTCATCCTACTGTCCCTTTCTTTGCTTACCTAATGATAAGGTGGAAATGCTGTCTCAAATAATACAACATTAAAAATTTTTGTAGCCATTCTAGGTATAGTGACAAAAATGATCATGTGGTTAATCCTGTATTAAATTTTAATTTGGGCTAAATTCTAATAATTTCGTCATCTTTCTGTCTATATGAAGATACAACCAATTCAGCATTCAAGTTATTTTAAGTGTAGTTTATGGCTAAAGGACAGTTGTTGGTAGATTCCAAAAGAAATCTATTCTATTAAAAGGAACACTGAGATTTATAAGTTATGAAGGTCACTTTTCTTAGGAAAGGGTAATTTTATTACAACCTTTGTATGTTCTGAATTTCAGGCAAAAATTAGGTTTGGATCCCTGGGCTTGCCCCACATTTTGGTAACAGACACCAATTTTTCCAGCAAGTTGAGCATGTTTCTTCCCTGGTTATGCTCGCCTACCGCCATGGCAGACGTGAGACGGTGGGAAAGGGACCAAAGAAAGGAGCAGAGGGATGTTCTAAACAGAGCAAAAGCAGATAGCATCATGCCTGCAAGGGTCAGCGTGGCCCACTGTGGCACAGGTGCAAGGTTTAAGCCCTCGCTGCCAGTCAGTTACCGTTACTTATGGTCATCATTTGGCAGTGAAGTGTCCAATGTGTCTTTTTTGGCAAGGACTTGAAGACATGTTAGAAGATTTATTCTTCCTTTCAGTGGATTATTGTATCTCTTAAAAATGTTTTTGAAGGTTTAATAAAATGAAAAAAAAACATGTTCAGTGATAAAAATGTTACGAAACTTCATTTGATCATATACACACAGATATATACACAGAAACATACACATCTAATATATGAAAGACAGTAAAATGTTACTGATTGTATCTGGGTAGTGGGAGTATGAGTGATTTTATTTTCTTTATTCCACTTATTTACAGTTTTTAAATTTTTTAGGTTGCACATGTATTTGTTTTATAATGAAGTTTTTAAAAGCTTAGTCTAAAAGAACCAATGTATAAACAGGAAACTCTGTCTATTTCATTTGTCACAGTATATTCATTATTGTCTCCAAATTCTCTTTTTGAGGACTCTAAGTAATAGGGATTGCTGCTTTTCATTAAGAAGTGAGAATCTGTAAAAAAGACTTTGCACAATAACAAATATCCCACTTGATCACAAAGGTCCACATGAGGCCAGAACACACTGTGGCTTTGTAAAGAGTAAGCTTCACCAGAAAAGCTGTGAATGAAATTGGCCCCTTATGACCTTTCAGGAAGGTGTCCCAGATTACCAGAGTGACTCTGGGTGGTCACACTGGAACTTTGCTCAAACCGTATTTATAACTCTGAGGTGTGATGTTTTTTCAGGATGAAGGTGAAAGGCAGGGGAATCACTAACTTACTGGTCTCCTTTGCTGGGATCTGCCTGGTGGCTGCCCCCGGGGGCAGGGCCTGTCCTCGCCGCTGTGCCTGTTACGTGCCTACAGAGGTGCACTGCACGTTTCGGTACCTGACGTCCATCCCTGACAGCATCCCACCCAATGTGGAACGTATCAACTTAGGGTACGTGGGGGCCCTTGTCTTGATCCCTTCTCAAGGAGGGATTGATTACCCTGGTGACTCATCCCCCAAACACTTGTGACTTTGGGAGATTAACCAGTTATTTTAGCAATATTTCTCTTCTGAAATAAGTGCAAGAGAATCTTAAGCTTGTTAGGGGCAGTAAGAAAATTCTTCCTGATAAACTGTTACTAGGAGAAGAATTCTCCTAGGACCTGACGTCACACTTGGTAAGTTGAGAGACTCGTGATTATAGAAAAGTTTCATTCTGGCTACATTTTTGCTAAAAATCTAATACAGCTCCAGTTGAGAATTAAGGATATATCAGTGGGGAATAACAGGACAACAGGAAGTGTCTTCCTGTATATAAAAGATATGTATGAAAAGTCAGCTGGATTATTTTTAAGGCCCTTGGACTTTTTCCCATACAAACTGACTTACTAAAAATACTTTAAAAATGAATGCCTAATTAAATCTGTTAAAGGGCAACTATATTTTAAAGCTGCACGAAAAGCTGTGTGTGTGAATGCACATGCCAGTGGACTTAGCCTCATTTGACATTAGCACCTACTATGTGCCAAACACAATGATGGTACCAGGGATACAACGATGAACAGGATACAGTGGTCACTAACAGAAGCCGTTGTTAAAGGGAGAGGACAGTCAGTACAACTTGGTAACTGTAAGAGAGCATATAAAGTGCCCTGGGAACAATCAATAATTGGAATAGCAAACATTCTTCATTGTGTCCTGGCATTGAATGAAGCGCTCTTCATGTATTCATTCATTTAATCCTCCTAACCCCTTTGGAGTAGAGTCCGTTATTTGCATTTTACGGACAAGGAAACTGTGGCACAGAAAGGTTGCTGATTTTACCCAGGGTGGGCACCATTCCCAGATGCCTGAGTTCATAATCGTACCCAAAACCTTTAGCTTCCAAGCCCAGGTTTCTTAACTACTGTTTCATGATGATATAGTCCGCTTGGAAGAACAAGGGGCCGTGTCATTAGGGAACAGTGTTCACAAATAGAGCCAGAGTCAAGGGCATTCCAACCTGAAAGAATAGCATATGCACAAAGGTTTGAAAATGGGAAGGGATGTGGCATGTTCCAGGAATATGAATGGGGTGACTGTAACTGAGACTGCACAGGTTGGGTAGAGCATTTACCTTCCGTGGCGTCTGATGAATTTCAGTAATATTTCAAGCATTGGATTATCTCCTTACAGCACAGGGGGAAAAGAGGGATTCAGTTTTATGTGTGTGTGTGTTGGGTTTTTCTTTGACATTTGAACTTTAGTTAACAGACTTACGCCTAGGATGACGTTTTTATTTCAGGTATAACAGTTTGGTTAGATTGATGGAAACGGATTTTTCTGGTCTGAACAAGTTGGAGCTACTAATGCTTCACAGCAATGGCATCCACACAATCCCTGCTAAGACCTTCTCTGACTTGCAGGCCTTGCAGGTGAGGCTGGTGTGGGGAAGGGGCTGGTTAACGAGGCGAGATGTGCCTCCAAAAGCCACCTGTTCCAAGAGAATCCACGTTCTGTAATGTAGTAGACATCAAGAGAAAATGTCAAAAACCTAATTATTTCAGTGCAACACTATGTGGTATTAGAATAATAAGAAAATGCTGATTTTCTCACACTTCAGGCTCAAAGAAAGTAAAAAGAAAAAACAAACAAAAAAAAACCCCCCAAAGCCCAGGAATTACTAAACCTTTAAAATGTAGCCCTGAAAGGCTACTTCCACTCTTGTTCATCTGGGTACTGAATGTAGTTTCTAAAAATAATTTTCTTTACACAGAAGTTAGCTCTCTATAAGGCAGTAATATACTTTTTTAAGTTTCACTTTATTTATGCATTGCCTGGTTCAAAAAAAATTGTTATGGGGACTTCTAAGAATGCATCAAATAGTGTAAGAATCACCACTCCAGTAGGTGAGGAAGTAAAAGGCAGAAGAAATGTTAGGAACAAGGACAAAGGGAGTGCAGGGAAATGCAGACATAAAGATCAGTATGTGCTGTAGGCAGGACTTGAGGCTTTTGGGAACCTAACTCAATTTATGATGTCTATTAATTTTGTAATAAATTAAAACTACTGTTAAGGAAAAGTGCAATCACATCTGATTTTAAACTAGAAAAAAAAAATCTCCCAAAGCTCCTCATAAAACAGTGTAATAAAATTAAGTCAGTTCTACCCTTAGATAAAATGCCAGGGTGCAGAGAGCCTTTTCACATCATACCAGGCCTGTATAAAGCCATAGATTTAAGTCTAGATATGTGATTCTGTTGATTTGGCTTTATCAGACTTTATTTGGAACATATGTCTTCAGAGGACTAGATGGGATACATACCCTTCATGGAATTCACACATACTTGTTTTCTTGACCAGGTTTTCAGTAGATATTGATGAACATCGAGTCTGGTAATATTTGGGGCAAAGCTGTTCCATGTTGCCAATTTAAATTTTCTTTGCTTATTAGGAAACTTGGCATTCCAGAAAAGCATTCTCAACAGAGATGACAGATTAGGTCAAATCAGGAAAATATGATGAGAAATCATTGTTTTTACTACCATTTCTTTTTCTTTTCTTTTTGGGAGAAAGAACTGGAGAATACTCACACACTATTGAAATATTCAAAAATTATTTTAATTTCAATTCAAAATTGATTATAACTGTATTACTCATAATAGCCAAAAAGTAGGTAACACCCCAAATGCCCATCTACCCATAAGTGGATAAACAGAGTATTCTTCCTATGTACACAATGGAATAGCTATTCAGCAATGGGAAGTAATGGAAGGCTGACACATTTTACAAAAGGATTGGTCTTGAAAATATTAGGCTAACTGAAAACAGCCAGGCACAAAGACCACGTAACATATCATTATTTTAAATGTTGAGAAATAGACCTAGAAAACCGCTAACTTTGTTTCTGTGGATTTGCCTAAGAGGAGAGGGGAAGTGACTGCTGATGGGTATCAGTTTTTATTTGGGGGCGATGAAGATGTTCTAAAATTAGATGGTGGAGACGGTTGCACAAGTCTGTGAGTTTACGAACAGCCACCGACTTACACTGTTTTAAAAGGTAAACTTTATGGCATGTGAATTGTATGTCAAAAGTGTGAAAGATAAAATCAGTATAATTATGAAAAATTCAGGTTCAAGAAATCTTAAATTGAACTATCTTAAATTTACTTGAAGTGAATTTACTTGAAAAAATAAGATACTTTTGCATCTGGTTGAAAATTTCCACAATAGGATTTTTCAAAAGCATACCATTTACAGAGGTAGAATAATACAGTAAACCCAAGCGTAGCACCCCCCAGCTTCAGCAGTTATCAACACATAACAGATCCTCTTTCACCTGTACCTCCACCCACTACTGTTCCACTTCACTGCATTGTTTTGAAACAAATCCAAGACACCATAATGTTTCATCTGTAAGTACTTCAATACGTATCTCAAAGTTAAAGAATCTTTTAAAAAATAACCACAATCTCATTATTGTATGTTAAATCATAGCAGTAATTCCTCAGTTATCATCAAATGTTCAAATTTCCCTGATATTCTTATATTTAATTTACAACTAGTTTGTTTAAGTTAGGATCGAAACCAGGTACACATACTGCATTGGATTAATCTCAGTGTATGTTTTATTATTGATATGATTTTCCCTTTTGTGATAATTCCTTTGACAAAATAAGCATGTTCTTTTTATTCTTAGGTATTAAAAATGAGCTATAACAAAGTTCGAAAACTTCAGAAGGACACTTTTTATGGTCTCAGGAGCTTAACACGGTTGCATATGGATCACAACAATATTGAATTTATAAACCCAGAGGTTTTTTATGGACTCACCTCTCTCCGACTGGTACAGTTGGAAGGAAACCAGCTCACTAAGCTCCATCCAGATACATTTGTCTCTTTACGTTACCTCCGGATATTTAAAACATCTTTCATTAAGTACTTATACTTGTCTGATAACTTTCTGAGCTCCCTCCCTCAAGAGGTGGTCTCCTATATGCCTGACCTGGAAAGCCTTTATCTTCATGGGAATCCCTGGACCTGCGACTGTCATTTGAAATGGTTGTCTGACTGGATACAGGAGAAGCCAGGTATCTAGACTGTTTCTTTCGTTGTCCTAATTTAATAGAAGAAATCTGCCTGGAGATGTTTTATGAGTGAGTAGGGTGGCCAAGGTAATTTAGCTGGAAAGAAAGTGAAGTTTAAATAATAATGCAGTGAGAATGAACTGTCTTAATTCAAGAATGAATTAATCTTTCATTGTTTCAGGTCAACTAGCCTCCTGGCTTTTGGCAAAACTGGGAAATGAGAAATATGTGCGTTACTCTTCCCATGAACCATAAGAATCCTTCCCTCTTATCTTCCTCTTAGTTATTCAGTCAATACATATTTTTTTGGAGTTCTGTTCAAGGCCCTGTGCTCAGTGGTGGAACTACCGAGAGCTCTGTCTCTGCTCTAACCATGTTTCTGGTGGGACACAGAGAAGCAGCAGTCAGTGTAAAAGCTGCTGTGTCGGGGAAAGTAGGATTTGCCATGAAGGGTTGATTTACAAGTTTCTGGTGTACAGCATAGTGATTCATTTATACGTTTATATATACTATTTTTCATATTTTTTATTATGGGCTGTCACAAGATATTGAATATACTTCGCCATGCTATACAGTAGGACCTTGTTGTTTATCTATTTTGTATACAGTAGTTTGTATCTGCTAATCCCTAACTCCTAATTTATCCCTCCCCACTTTCCCCTTTGATAACCGTAAATTTGTTCTGCAGCAACATGGATGGACCTGGAGATTATCATATTAAGTGAAGTAAGTCAGACAGAGAAAGACAAATGTATGATTTCACTTACATGTGGAATCTAAAAAAATGACACAAATGTAAGTGGAGCAGCCACCGACTGCTCAGCACTCGCCCTCCTGGGAAGCCTGGCTGCTCCTCTGCTTCTGCATCATCATTTCCCCACTTCCCCAGCTTGTCCGCACTTCAGTCTTCAATGGGTAACATTCATTATATTTATTAAATGTCTGTTGCCTTTCCTATGTCTAATTTATCTATCTCGAATTTATCTATCTCGATCCCCTAGAATGTGCCTAGAGCATATTGGTACTAAGTAATTTTGTTAAACTAAGCTTTTATCAATTAAATAGCCATCTTGCTGGTGACAACAAACGAGTCCACGAGCCACTTATGGTCTTAACTGTGTGATATATGTGTGTATATGTATGTGACATATATATGTGTGTATGTGTATGTGTATATATAAATGAGCCAAACCCATTAGGGCTAACATTTCTCAGTGTGTCTAAATAATCAAATATCCTTTGAGATGCCTTAAGGATCATTCTATGAGACTCATGAATCAGTCACATCAACTTCTGTTTTGAAATTTTTTTCATCTACTCCAAGAGGTTGACACTTTCTCTTACCTTCCGTTGCCTCACTTGGCACTCCCTTTGCACGCATCTCAGTAGTTGGGTGCAACGCAGCTTCATCTATTTGTGGGTATTTTCCATTCTTAGTTTTGGCAAAGCCCTACATGTTGCTTTTGTATGAAATATGAATTTGTGACTATTTCTCTGACAAACATTTGTTTCACAATTTTAAATTCGTCTTACTGCTGTTTCCAAGCCTGCCTATATACATAATAACTTCTTATTTTAATGCCAAAGCAAAATGTAATTTTAATGAAAAACACTTTAAGCGGCAAACTTAATATATGTAATGCCAACAGTGCATGTAACTCAGTTGAAGAGAAAACAATGTGGATAAATGGCTATGACAGTACTTGTGTGTGTGCAGGCAGTGATAGCTATATCAAGACTGCCAGCGGGTCATCTGCTACTGAAAATGCCTTCAGTTGTAAGACACATCTTAATTTGTAAGTTAAAATGTGGAAGAAATAGGCTCTCAGATTTAGACTGTCCTTTCTTCTTCCAATCTTTCCTGACCGTCCACTGGCCAGGACTAGGGACATACAGATGAAGAGTACTGAACAGTATGGGGCTTAGTCTTATGCAAGACAGACAGGTAGACAAGTCATTCTACTAGTGGGTGAGGAGGGCTAGGAAGAAGTGGAAGGTACCAGGAGAACACAAAGCAGGGAGCCCACGCAGAAGCAGTACTCTTGCGGCTGGGTCATGGAGGAGCTAAGCAGCTAGGCAGTGATGGAAGAGGGTGTGTCAGACAGCGAGTGCATTGGAAGTACAAGGAGTAGCCTCCGCCGGAGCCTGATAGGGCATGGCGGGGCTGAGGAATGGAAGGCACTTCTGCGGGAATGGAACCTAGTGTGATGGAGAGAATGGAAAGAACGTGATCAGATTTGCATCTGAGGTAAAATACGTGATGTCCAGGGCCTAGCAATAATCAAACCAAGATGTGAGGCTAATTCTGTGATGAGGTTTAATTAAGCCAGGAGTCCATCATGTTCCTTGCAATAGCAGGGCCTGAGCCCAGGGTACTGGTTAAGTGGGTGGTTGAGAAGAGGCTCTCATGAGTGCTCACAGAGGTTTGCAGGCTTGCCAGCAACCTCCTCTGTGTAAGTTGAGACTTTAAAATGTGCTGAAGAATGCTGAGTAGCCAGATACATGTAGCATTACCTGTCGCACTAAGTGCACAGATGGGAAGGTGATTTGACCCCGTCCAGCCACTGTAGCAAATGAAATCTAAGTAGTGTAGTGCTTCTTTTAAATGCTGTGTGTAATGCATGATATGGGAGCTACTACGTGGAACAGCGTGGAAGTCCCTGGCTGCGTTTTGTCAGGTAAAATCCTCTACCTCTTATCAAGTATTTCAGTGACCAGTCATTTTAAATAGTTTCACCAGAGCAGTATATTTAAATGAATGGGGACATGATATCTGAAATGCCTGAAAGAGGAGGTTTCTATGATTTGGAAAGGCTTAGGATGCTCCTTGAGTTAAAAGACTTTTCAGGCTTCTGACTTCACCAAAATGGCAGACCTTTAATGGGCTACCCTGTTGCTTGGGCACAATGTTCTTCCCTTCTCATCAAAACTGATCCTCCTCCAGTGAGTCTGTCTAAACCAATCCAGTTACCAAACTTAAGACTGTGTCTCCCTACACTCTTCTTCTCAATCACCCTCTGTGTTCAACACATCTTCATTCTTATTGGTTCTACCAGCTTCATTATCTCCTGTATCCATCTCATCCTTTCCATCCTGTTGTATTACATATGTTAAGTTTGCCACTTAAAATGTTATTACACCCTACTTTGGCATTAAAATAAGAAGTTATTATGTATATAGGAAGACCTGGAAACAGAGCAGCAGAACATAAATTTAATATTTATAAACAAATGTTTGTCAGCAAAATGGCCACAAATTCATATTTCACAGAAAAGCAACACCTAGAGCTTTATGGAACCTAAGAATGGAAGGTACCTACAACTAGATGAAGCTGTGTTACACCTGACTACTGAGGTATGTGCAAAAGGCTGCCAAATGAGGCAAATGAAGGTATGAGAATCTCTTGGCCTTTCTTTTGTTAATGTGGTGTATCATGTTGACTGACTTGCATATGTTGAATCATCCTTGTGTCCCTGGGGTGAACCCAACTTGATCATGGTGTATAATCTTTTTTGTGTTGTTGGATTCTGCTTGCTAATATTTTGTTGAGAATTTTTTGCATCTATATTCAACAATATTGGCCTGTAATATTCTCTTTTGATGGTGGCTTCGGTATCAAGGTGATGGTGGCTTCATAGAATGAGTTTGGGAATATTCCCTCCTCTTCAGTCTTTTGGAAGAGTTTGAGAAGGATCAGTATGAGCTCTTCTGTTGTATGTTTGGTAGAATTCCCCAGTGAAGCCATCTGGTCCTGGATTTTTGTTTACAGGTAAGTTTTTATTTCATTTCTAGTGATCAGTCTGTTCAAATTAATCTGTTTCTTCTTGATTCAGTTTTGGTGGATTGTATGTTTCCAGAAACTTGTCCATTTCTTCTAGGTTGTCCAATTTGTTGCCATATAGTTGTTCATTGTATTCTTATGGTTTTTGGTATTTCTGTGATGTTGGTTGTAATTTTTCCATTTTCCTTTCTTATTTTGTTTATTTGTGTCCTCTCTCTTTTCTTCTTGGTGAGCCTGGCCAGAGGTTTGTCAATTTTGTTTACTATTTGAAAAACCCAGCTCTTGGTTTGATTCTTACGTATTTATTATTTCTTTCCTTCTGCTGACTTTAGGTGTTGTTAGTTCTTTTTCTAATTCTTTTAGGCGGTAGATTAGATTAGGTTATTTGTGATTGTTCTTGTTTGTTG